TTGTAGGACTTCAATACCAACGGTTTCCACAAGTGGCCTTTTCTTTCCGTACAACAATGGGGAGAGGATCCTCGTGGAACATGGATTCTTATGGTAGAAAGTGTGACAAACAATCCATCAGCCACAGGTAATTCAATTTTTTTCTTTTTCCGCTCAAACCTCAAGATTTGATGCTAGGAACCTTCCATGATTGGACATTGTTACTGTATGGCACAGCCGATCCTGCACAACCGGGAGACAGAATCCACCCTCCGACACCCGTTCCATCACAGTCAGTACTAGGACGGATACATCAAATTACGAGTCAGGTTGGACTTTAAACTGTCTTACGAAAATAGCGGGAAGATGTAGCATCCAGAACTTGGTTTTTTGCTCAAACAATGATGCGTACAATTTCCTACTTCTCAGAATTATTATCGTTCTAGATTTTGATTTGGAGTGCTTATGAAGTTATAGAAAACATGGTTTTGAAGTGAATGCTGCTTTATACCATAACATTACCGTTGAGTTCTGAATGTTTACCATCTTACTGCGTCTCTCCATTATAATTTGTAGAGCAGAGTGAAAACTCTTGACTTTCTGCTCGTCAGATCATTTCTATCAGATTTTTTGGATTACTAGTTACGAGCAGAACGTACTCAGCTTAACAGATCTTGATGCTTTTTTTGTTGGTTTTTGCCTCATCGCTCCACCTCACTCACTAACCGTAACATTCACCTCACAGCTTTCGATGTGCTTCCATGTCATTATGCTTATCTCACTGCATGCCATATCGATTCCCAGGCCATCTTCATGTTCATCTACGTAATTAAACACTCATCCAGCTTGCTTTTTCGTTTGTACTGCAGCGGAACATATGGTGTCCCGTCGAGTGCTGTTGCAAGTGTGCTTTTTCACTCACAGAGAAGAGAGTAGAGCGTGCAAATGAACGAATATGTTGGTGGTGGTCATGAGCCGTATTGTGGTGTCTTGCAGAAATTTCCGAAGCGTCCGACGGCATTCTCCCGTACTCGCCAGTTTCCGATTCCTGGTGCCATCGCCTCACACCGATCGCCATTTTTGCGGCCGGCAGCCTCTCGAGCGCACTCTCGTCCCCTCGTTAACGCGGGCCAGTGGGTGTTCAGCACGAGGGCGAACCAGTGGGTATGGGTGAATCCGCGCCACCGGG